TTGACATTTATTTTTATCAAACTAATTTATATTTTATCAAATTGATAACTTTGTCATTGAAATGATGCAACAATATTTTTAATTGTCCTTATTTGAAACAAGATTTAAAATTTAGAATCAAATACATTACAATTAAAAGGTCAAGAACTAAAGTGTCACAAATCTTAACTATAGAGATCATTAGTATAATTCGCCATTTATTTTTATTTTTCCTGAAAATTGGGGTGCTCAATAATCGCATGTAGAACCATCCTAATTTTCAACCCTTTTAGATATGTCATATGTGGTAACTTGTAAAGATTGCCTAAATAAATTGATAAATTGGAATTTGTTTTTTTTAATACTAATTTGTTTTGGAAATGATAAAAGTCAACATGTAATTTTACAATTTATAATTAAATTTATGTCAATACATTGACTGCGCACCAAATACTATTTTCATTATTTAAAAAATAAAAATTTTAAAAACTAAAATCTTTCATTTGAAATAGCAAGTATGAACAAGGCTCATATTGTTCCTTGCAAGCAATTCTCATAATGATTTAAAAAGAATTATATATAATTAAATCAAATATTTAATTTCATTTTTATCAAGTATTTAATTCAAGTATTCAATCAAACAAAAAAAAAAAAAGTTACTTAGGCATCCTTTGGGAAAAAGGGAAAAAACTAACTTATTTATTAAAAATAAGTTTACAAAAATACTTATGTAATGAAAATTAATTTGTTTGATACATTTTTAACTTTTGACTTTTTTTTAATGACTTGTTAAAGCAAATTTGATTAATTTAGACCCTTCTAATAAAAAATGAGTTTAATAAATGCACTAAGACAATCAATAAGAGATTATTAACAAAACAAAGAAAATCATATTTGGACAATCATTATTCAATAATTATAAAAACCCAACAACTAGGCCGATAAAGAGTTATGATAATGAGGGGAAAAAAAACAACCAACCCGATAACCAAGCAACTTAAAAAAGAGTTTAATAATATTAAAAAATAAATAAAAAAAGAACCACATAAGAAATTAATTCTATAATGACAAGAAATTAACAATCTTTGAGTTTATTAAAAATTTACTCTTAATCTCTTGGATAAAAAAATGTACAAAATACCCAAGTAAATTAGGGCAAGTTTGTTTCAAATTGACATTCTTGGATATAATCGTACACAATACCCAAGTCAATTACCAAGTTTGTTTCAAAATTGGCACTTTTAGCCATGGTTTTTATTGACACTTTTTTGGTAATAAATAAATGGGAAAATATTAAATAAGTGGGATAGTAAAAAATTATGAATTTGGATTTCCCCTAGTTGGGCTTTTCAATTAGAGGGTGTTGTTAAGTTTTCGTGGGCCTATCATACAGGTTCACGGAAGCCGTATCGATAATCCGAATCGTTGAATGTGTAGAACTTATCGAGTACTTCAATTTTTAAAAAATTACGTTGATTGGATATCGATAGCCAATTGATTAGATAATATTTCTGTCAATAATTTATTTTTAAAATTACATTAACAGTAAATAGAAATGTGAACTGATCAAGTAACTATCGATATCCAATCAATGTGATTTTTTACAAAGATAAAATACTTAACAATTTCTATAAATTGAACAGTCTGGATTATTGATGTGGGCTACGTGGTGAGCCCATGGAGGCTCAACAACTCTCTCAAAAATTATTTATATTTATGATTGTATAAATTTACTGTGTGCATGGTACAAATCCTCTATATATATGATGTAAATTCTTATTGGGTGTGTTTGATTGGACGGACTGGATAAGTGGGGATTAGAATCCATCGGACTTGAGTCCTGAGACTGTGAATCCCCCTGATTATTTGGTTGGATTGGATATGTATCTTGTGTTTATTTTTTCATGGGATTAGATGTCTGGAAATGACTATTTTTAGTGAATCCAACGTTTGGTTGGACGGACTGGATATGATAAATGAATAAAAGACTATTTTACCCTTTTTAATTGTTTACTAAGGGTGTGTTTGGTAACGTTTACGTTTTCAATTTATATTTACAAAAACTTTATAAACTGATTTTTGTTTATTTTTAGAAAAACATAAACTACAAACGCGTTTGGTAATTGACAAAATGTTTAAAAAAAATTTAAAATATAAAAAAAAGTGAGAAATGGCAAGTGGTGACAAGTGGCGGTGGAAGACGGTGGTGGAAAGTGGTGACGGTGGGTGGTGGGTAGCTGGTGGTGGCGGGCGGTGGTGGTGGGTTAGCGGGTGACGGTGACAGGTGGTGGGTGGTAGCGAGTGGGTAGTGGTGGTGGTGGTGGCGGGTGGTTGGTGGTGGTGGCAGGCGGGTGGTGGTGGCGGGTAATGGGTGGTGACTGCGTAGCGGGCTGGCGGGCGGTAGCGTGGTGGTGGTGACGGGTGGTTGGTGGTGTTTGGGCAAGTGGGTGCGGATGGCGGTGGGTGTGGTGGCGGCGTGGTGGTGGTACGGTGGCGGGTGGTAGGTGATGTGACGGGTAGTGGGTGGTGGCGGGTGGTGGTGGTGCGCGGTGGTGGTGGTGGGTGGATGGTGACGATGGCTGGTGGCGGGTGGTAGCGAGTGGGTGATGGGTGGTGGTGGCAGGTGGTGGTGACAGATGGGTAGTGGATGACGGATGGGGGATGGCGGATGGCGGGTGGTGACGGGTGGGTAGTGGGTGGGTGGGTGACGGTGGCAGGTGGTAGGTGGTAGCGAGTGAGTGGTTGTGGCAGTGGTGTGGCAGGTGGTGGATGTGGTGGCAAGTGGGTGGCAGATGGCGGGTGGTGGTGGTGGTGGTGGTGAGTGGGGTGGGTGACGATGGCGGGTGGTAGGTGGTAGCGAGTAGGTGGTGAGCGGTGGTGGCAGGTGGGTGGCGGTGGGTGGTGGGTGAGGGTGGTAGTGGTAGAGGCGGCGGCGCGAGGGTGGGTGGTGGTGGTGGCGAGTGGGTGGCAGGTAGGTGGTGGCTGTGGGGTGGTGAGTGGTGGTGGCAGGTGGTGGTAGGGGTGGGTGTTGGGTGGTGGTGCCGGAAGACGGTGGTGGAAAATGGTGGCGGGTGGTGGTTAGTGTTGGGTGATAAAAAAAAAAAAAAAAAACTCAAAACTCAAAACAGAAACACATTTTTCGTGTTTTATTGTTTTGCCAAATTTATAAACTGAGACCACTGATTTATAAATCAAAAATTTTAGCAAAAAGTTTTTATTTGAGTTTTTTAAATTTTTGTAAATATAAACAGAAAAACTGAAACGTTTAAGGTGCCGTTTGGTAACACTTACGTTTTCAGATTTTCTGTTTATATTTACAAAAATTTAAAAACTCAATAAAAACTTGTTTGCGTAAAATTTTTGATTTATAAATCAGTGGTCTTAGTTTATAAATTTGGCCAAAAAATGAAAACACAAAAAATGTTTTTCCGTTTTGAGTTTTGAGTTTTGAGGTTTTTTTTTTATCACCCAAAAACTAGCAACCACCCGCCACCATTTTCCGACCGTCTTCCGGCACCACCAGCCACCACCAGCCGCCACCCACTCGCCACCACCACCCACCCTTGTCGCCGTCGCCGCCACCACACCACCACACCCACCACCCACTGGCTACTACCTACCACCCGCCACCGTCACTTACCCACCCATTACCACCACCACCACCACCCGCCACCCGCCACTCCACTTGCCACCACCACCGCCACAACCACCCACTTGCTACCACCTGCCACTGTGATCCACCCACCTGCCACCACTACCCACCACCACCCCACCACCACCACCACCACCACCACCCATTGCTACCACCCGCCACCATCACCCACCCACCACCACCGCCACCCACCTTGCTACACCCGCCATCCGCCACCCACCTGCTACCAACCCAACCTCCCGCCGCCACCACCACCCACTCGCTACCACCCGCCACTGTCACCACCCACCACCCCACACCACCACCCACTACCACTAGCTACCCACCATCCACCGTCACTACTTTCCACCACCGTCTTCCGCCGCCACTTGTCACCACTTGTCATTTCTCACTCTTTTTATATTTTTAACTTTTTTAAAAATTTTGTCAATACCAAACGCGTTTGTAGTTTATGTTTTTTTAAAAATAAACAAAAAATAAACAAAAATCAATTTTATAAAATTTTTATAAATATAAAACTGAAAACGTAAACGTTACCAAACACACCCTAAGTGTTACCAAACGGCACGCCTAAGTAATTGCAATATTAAACATATCTTTTATATTATTTTAATTTTTTAGCTAGATTAAATAAAATTTTATTTTATCTTATTTTTTTACACAATTAAATAAATAAATAACCACTAAATTTGATTTAATAAAATACTGTATAACCTGTATAAAAAATTTATATTATTTTTTTAATTAAAATTTTAAATACATTTATTTTAAAAAATAATAATAATTAAATAAAACATCTATTAAAATTTAAATAATGAAATTAAATAAATTATAAACAAAATTTTAAAATAAAACATCAATAAAATATCTATAAAAAATTAAATAAATAAAAATCAATAAAAAATTAAATAAAATTATTTTATTTTTAAATTGAGACATTAAATTTTATTGAATTTTACTAAATATAATACATAATTAAATAGTAGAGGGTCAAAATAGTCACTTCATCATCGAATCCCAACCGTAGATAGTCCCCCGAAAATTATCCCATACCCCCCTAGGATACAATAGTCCCCCATATGGGGGATAAGGAGTCCAGCCAGACTCCATATCTGACGAATTAAAAAAAAAACAAACACCGAATAAAGAATCTCCCCTAAATTACAATCCCAATAATAAATAATCTCCCTCCTTATCCCTCCAATCACACACGCTCATTATGTACGTAGTTACACCCCAAAATATATTTTTTTAATCTAGTGAAATAAATTTTTTTCCTGTCCCACTAATCTGATATTTTGTAGCTAGTTGTGAACTTGACTAGACTTGAGAGAGGAAAAAGCTAGCCACAAGCCAACAGCTCTCCTAAATAAAATCCCTTCATTTTCTCCTCAACCAAATCTAGAACCACAACCCCCTATACACACACCCCTTACTTGCTTTATATTTGGTCTTCTTCTCTTAGTCTCATCCCCCCCTTCTTTATTGCCGAGTCCATTGCACCGTTTCAGACCCTCCCTCTCTCTCTCTACACACACACTCTCTCTCTCTCTTAAATCTTGATTTATGGCCAAAGGAAGTGGACTCTCCTTTGATTCAGATCGGATCGGATACTTCTTCTATCAGCCAACTGTTATCAATTCATTTCCTGAAGACACCACCACCAACCACCGCTACCACCACCACAACCACCACCACCCCAAGTTGAAGCTTGAACCCATGGAGGCTACTACTCCCACTATCAAATTCCCAGTCAATCTCAACTCCACCACACATGATGAACAAGATGTTCCCACGCCGTCCCATGATGACAAACGAAGGGTCATCGATGAGATGGACTTCTTCGCCCACGATAAACACCACCACTCCAAGGCGGCAGCCACCACCGGCGTTGAAAATGACTTGCCCCGACCTGCCCAATTGGATTTCAATGTCAATGTAAGTTACCCATTTCAATTCTTCTTTTTCTTTTCTTTTTTTTTTGTTCATCATATATATTAATTTTCTTTTTATATACTAATTTTTTTGAGATTAATTACATTTTTAGTCTATGTTATTTGAGTCAAATATTAATTTTGTTGATCTTTACGCTTCAAAGTTTATTTTTAATTTGGTGTTTCTGTTCAAGTTAGAAGTTAAAATTAATGATTTTAGAGTATTTGTTAAAAAAAAAATTTAACGAAAATTTAGATGAAGAACAAAATTAAACTTGAGAATCTAATTATTTAAATTAATAGAAATCAAAGTGAAATTTAAATTAAAGTTAAAAGTTTAAAAATATAATTTATTTATTAATTTTTAGCTGAAATGTATTGAATTTTTCCGTATGTATAGACTGGACTGCACCTTCTGACTGCTGCTAATAACACCGGAAGTGATGAATCAATGGTGGACGATGAAACATCGCCCAACTCTGAAGATAAAAGAGCTAAGACTGAGGTAATAACAACTGATTATATCTCCGATCAATCATCGGCCTATTTTGGCAAGTTAGTTACATGTCAATTTTTTGTTTTGTTCTGTTTTTAATTATTTGGAAAAATAGTTTAAAAATTAGTTTTTTGAATTTTTTTTTTAAAATTCAGAAAAAGTGTAAAAATATATATGGGTGATATGATTCAAAAGAGATTAAAAAACTAAAAAGATGAGTTTGATGGGGGTGTTTGGCGTGGATTATAGGGCGTAATTATAACTTATTTTAATTTAAGAATTTGTGTCAGACTGTTTGGTGTAACTTCTACTTACATCTTTTTAGATAAAAATAACTTAAGCAAGTTAAGAAAAACTGATTATTTAGAAGTTAAGAAAGATTGTTTTTTATTTTAACTTTTTAATTATCGACTTTTAATTTACAATAAGCAAGGCCAAACAGTAGCACTCTCTTTGCCAAAAGAGGCTAATCTCTTAACGTTTTTTTTTTTTTAAAAGAGAAAGCTAAAAAAAACACTAAAAAACTCACTTTTAATCTCCTCCCAAAATAGGCTATCGTATATAAATGTATTGGCATCATGGGTTGTTTTGAATTTTGATGAATCGGATTCATGTTGCTTGTTTTAGCTGACCGTGGTGCAAGCCGAGCTGAAACGAATGAATACGGAGAATCAACGACTGAGAGACATGCTAGATCAAGTCACCGGAAATTACACCACTCTTCAGATCCATATGATGACACTGATGCAACAAAAACACAACAACAATGAAAAACATGATCAAAACAACATGGTAGTAGATGACAAATCAGAGGAAAATAACAAGAAACACAGTGGTAATAATGGAGGAGGAGTAATGGTGCCGAGACAGTTCATGGACCTCGGGTTAGCTGCCACGGCCGATACAGACGAGCATTCGCTGTCATCGTCAGAGGGAAGAAGATCGCCGGTTAACAATGGGGAGGCAGCGTCGAAGGAGGGAGATGATGGGGTAAGAGAGGATAGCCCAGAAAATGGATCGAACAATAAAGTTGCTAGATTGAATGGTTTGAAGAATGTTGATCAAGCCGCTCCAACGGAGGCTACTATGAGAAAAGCTCGAGTTTCGGTTAGAGCTCGATCCGAGGCACCAATGGTACATCATTAATTGGATTGAAATTTGAATTAGATTTCATCAAATAGATTAAATTTTTTATTTTTTTTATTTTTTAAATTTTTGGTTGAATTGATTTGAATAGTTTTGGGGTGATAGATTACAGATGGATGCCAATGGAGGAAGTATGGACAGAAAATGGCGAAAGGGAACCCGTGTCCTCGAGCTTATTATCGTTGCACCATGGCTGCCGGATGCCCGGTTCGGAAGCAAGTATGTCTTTCATTTTTATTTTATTTTTTAAGTATCAGTGAATTCCAAATTTAACATTGTCTCATATTTTTTATTGTTTCTTCATTTTATCACTTCTTCATTTCTTACTCCAAAAATGTTGGTGCACACGGCACGCTTGATGAATTTCGGCCGCGTGTACTTTTTATACTCTTTTTTTTTTCTTCTTCTTCTTGATTTCTACTTTTGTGCATGAAAAAGTCTAAGGACTCACATGATAAACCTAGAAAATTTTGGATAGGTGATTGTATATGTAAGACGTGATGAAAATTAATTTTTTATTAATTTTTATATTGATAAGCGTGAATTTATAGTATTACTCTTTGTGCATTTCACGTCACATTATAAGTTTGATTGAAAAGTTGGTTATTTTGGTTATTCTAGCTGATTTTTTAACTTTTAACTATTTCAAATTCTCTTTTGAGAATTGACTTATAAGCTAGCTTATTAGTTTTTTAACTATTTTAAGGCTTCGTTTGGGAAATGGTTTTTTGGTTTTTTGACTTTTTTAGCTATTTTAGCTTGGGCTAAAAAGTTTGGTTTGGGAAGGACTTTTTGGCTTTTTTGAATTTTTTTGTGAGAGAAGAGGGTAATGATTATGGGTTGGATGTGATGTTTTGTTTGTTATGGCTAAAATAGCCTATTTTGTCTTTTGTGGCTAAAATAGCCAAAAAAGCCCATGAACCAACTTGCCAAACAGAGGCTAAGTTACATTATTTTTTTATTTTTTACATATCTATTTTGTAATAAGCAAAAAGACGGTTTATTTAGCACTACCTCAAACAACCCTAGCCTAACTAGAAAAGATGTGTTTGGAAAGTTAGTTAGCTTTTTATTTTGTAGTTGATTTGATGCTTGTGAGATAAAAAAAATGAAATGATTATGATTTGCATACGATATTTTATCTTATTGACTATTTTAATATATTTTATCTTTACTATCTATTTTAGTAAAAAATAAATAAATATAAAAAAATAAAATAAGACAACAAAATATATTTATGTACGATTAGGACAATGTTAATATTGGAAGATTTGTAAAAAGTTTTTTTTTTAATTTTTTTTTGAAATCAACAACAATTATTTTAAAATTAATTGAAAAGTGTTATATTATTTATGTATGTGTTGAATTGAAATTGTCAATTTTGAGCTCAAAATAAAACATTCAGTATTATACTATATAGTTTTAAATATCTCATTGTCACATAATGTTAATTGAATTTATATATATATATATATATATATTTTCTTATAGTATTAAAAAATATATAAATTTGAAAATATAATATAGACAATTAAAATTATGAGCAATGATACATCTCTTACTTTTGAAATTCTAAGGGTTTGTTTAGGATGTGAGTTGCCTTTTTGATTTTCTGACTATTTTAATCTAGGGTTAAAAATCTTTATTTGGAATTGGTTTTTAGGTTTTTTTTAACTTTTTTGAGATAAAAAATATAATAATTATGGTTTGGATGTGATATTTTTGTCTTATTAAGCTAAAAAGTCTATTTTGCCTTTTTGTGATTATTTTAACCAAAAAATTCCCGTTTAAGCGAGGGCTAATTGAGCTCTAATAATGTATTAGGAAAGAAAAAAAAAAAAAAAATCAAAACATCACATCATATGTGGGATCCGTCTGCTTAGAGCTCTCTTAGAACCCAATAATTAGAGTTTCAAAACATTTTTGAAAAATTATATAATAAAAATTTACACCAAATGAATTATGGTAAGAGAATAGATAATGCTTTCATAGGATAAATTAAAATGTAATGTTAGAGATACTAAAAATTTTATTAAAAGTTTTATCAAATATTTCACATGAATATAAAACTCCCAAAATATAAGTTGCATGTAAATCTCATACCTATGTAAGATAGTTGGTAAAACTTTTAATAAAACTTTTAAGATCCGTAACATTTTTTAAGATGAAAATAGTAGTAACGTGTTTTACTGCAGCAGTTCATTAATTATAGGGTCACGCGTTATTTGAAGATCTTGTTTGAATTGACGATTGTTGCTCAAGAATTAGGGTTACAAAATTTTGAAGACACCTAGAAAAAATGTCTAAAAAATAACAAAATATCTATATATACTTGTTTAGTCTACAGATTTTTTTATTTTGTTTTATTTTATTTTCATATAATAGGAGGTTAAGAGTTAATAAGTCTCTTTTGGAAAGAGGAAAAGAAATGATTATTGATTTATTTGAATCAGATCATCTCTCTAATTTTTTATATATATTTTTAAAAAAAATCATTAAGCCAAACAAAGTAAATTTCCAAAAATGATTTAAGTTAGATTATAACAAAGAATCGCAGCCACTTTATCGACTAAAACTTTAAACTTGTGATATTTTTACTATCTTAAAAGACAATTACATAAATCACTAGACTAATTATTTTGTCCATGGTCTACAGACTCTACACCACACCAATCACGCAATATAAGTTTTGTGTTTTACCATGTTCAAAGTCATTGCCTTTAAAGACTCAGCTACATGACATTGTTTGATTTAAGTGAAAATTAAATGTAAAACTTTCTTTAAATACCAATCATAAATTTATTCAAAGTGACGTGCGGAAGGTTGGATCTTTGTTAGTTGATTATTAAATTAGAATTCTCTCAAGTTGGAATTTGAGTGAACAAATCACTTCGTAGACTATTGGAAGCCGAATGTTGATTGACATAGTGCAATTTTTAAAATTAATTAAATAGAATATTCATATAAAAAATTAAAATAATTGAATATAAATAATTATATGTATAAATAACATTTGTGCTAAAAAAAAATGACAAATCCTCGAAAGAATATTTTACTCGACAAATTTAAAAAGTGAACAACAACCTCAAAATAGGCTCACTAAGCCCAAATTATTTTCTCAAGTTAGATAGCTGATTTTAAATAATGCAAACTCATTAAATTAATCAACAACTAACATTCAATATTCCATATTATTAAAAATATTTAAGCATTTTCTTTCAATATAAGTTTTGTGTTATACCATGTTCAAAGTCATTGCCTTTAAAGACTCAGCTACATGACATTGTTTGATTTAAGGGAAAATTAAATGTAAAAATTTCTTTAAATACCAATCATAAATTTATTCAAAGTGACGTGCGGAAGGTTGGATCTTTATTAGTTGATTATTAAATTAGAATTCTCTCAAGTTGGAATTTGAGTGAACAAATCACTTCGTAGACTATTGGAAGCCGAATGTTGATTGACATAGTGCAATTTTTAAAATTAATTAAATAGAATATTTATATAAAAAATTAAAATAATTGAATATAAATAATTATATGTATGAATTACATCTGTGCTTAAAAAAAAAAAAATGACAAATCCTCAAAAGAATATTTTACTCGACAAATTTAAAAAATAAACGATAAAAATTATAAAGTCAACCTCAAAATAGGCTCACAAAGCCCAAATTATTTTCTCAAGTTAGATAGCTGATTTTAAATAATGCAAACTCATTAAATTAATCAACAACTAACATTCAATATTCCATATTATTAAAAATATTTAAGCATTTTCTTTCACGAAAATTTAAGGCATTTGTTCTAATGTGAATACAATTTCTCTAACAGGTGCAAAGATGTGCAGAAGACAGAACAATCCTAATCACCACATACGAAGGCAACCACAACCACCCACTACCTCCGGCTGCCATGGCCATGGCCTCCACCACCTCCTCCGCCGCCCAAATGCTTCTCTCCGGTTCGATGTCGAGTGCCGACGGCCTAATCAACTCCAACTTCATAGCCAGAACTCTCCTCCCATGTTCCTCAAACATGGCCACCATTTCAGCCTCAGCTCCATTCCCAACAGTCACACTAGACCTAACCCAATCCCCCAACAACCCACTCCAATTCCAAAGACAACAACCACAAACCCAATTCCACATCCCCTTCCCAAACCCACCACCTCACAACAACAACTTGATTGGCCAAGCTCTCTACAATCAGTCTAAGTTCTCTGGACTTCAAATGTCTTCTCATGATATGGAAGCTGCCCAATTTGGCCGCCAAGCACTGCCGCAGAGCTCGGTGGCTGACACTGTCAATGCTCTGACAGCTGATCCAAACTTTACGGCGGCGCTGGCAGCGGCCATTTCTTCTCTGATTGGGGGTGGTGGTAGTAGTAATAATAATGCCAGCGTGGCAACTACCACCACCAGCAACAACAATAGCAATGACAACAATTCAAGTTTTCCGGAGAAGTAAAGGATGGACTTGGTTTTTTGCTCACAAGTTTTTACATTTATTTTTGTTTTTGTGTTTTTATTCTAACTTTCTGGGGATAAAAAGTGAGATCATATACATGTTCATTTGGTTTTTCAGAAGCAATGCTATATACTTAGGAAAAAATATTCAAGTAAAAGAAATATTTGGAATTTGAAATATGTGAATCAGATTCTGAACGTAGTTAGTACTATTTTTTGTATTCTTTCTTTGTTTGAATAATATCATCTAAATTGTGAAATCAATCAACACTCAAAAGAAATGGTAAAAGAAAAAGAAGTGCATATGATTAAATTGTTTTTCTACGGAACTTGAATTTGATACGGGAGTTATTTTATTGGGAAATCAATTCTATTTTACTATAACCTTTTGGATTTGTTAAATAATGTTCTTTTTGTAGCTTTCCCTATATGGAGCCAAAGTGATGAAATCAGAGAAAAATAATAATAAAAAAATACAAAGAAACAAAAAATAAAGCAAGGGTTGAAATATGCGTTAGATGTGATAGAATTAGGATTCATTCATATGGGGTGGTTGGTTAGTCAAGAAAGAGGTCAACAAAATCGCCTGGAGTGTTTTGTTTGACCCGGTAGGACTAGAGATTGTTGTTTGCTTTTGATTTTGGGAGAATTACAGGATTGGACAGAAAAATAAAATTACAAAAATATATAAGGTGTAAGTAATTATGTGGTGTGGTATAAATGAAAAATTATACAGGTATAATTGTGACTTGCATCTTTTCATATTTGCGTAAAAAAAAATTCTATTGTACTAGGATGTAATTCCCCCTTTGATTTCTCATTTGCTTTTCTGGCCATTCTGAAAATTTGATATGTGATCTGTTAATACAATTTGAAGTATACATGAAATTTAAAATATAATATGATTTAATAGCACGAGTGTTAATTATCTCGTCTTGAAATTAAACACACTTAACTCAAACACAACCCATGTAAAAATTTGTATTGATACATGGACACGATACAGATAACCTATTTAAGCACACTTTTTTTTTTTTTGGTCATATTATCTCTCTATTTTTCTGCACATCTTTTTGTAAAAAGTTAAAAAATACAATTATTTAAATAATCTCAAACAACCTGAATTCTCTCTTCTCACAAAGTTCAATCAAATCAAATACTGAAAAAAAAAAGATTTTTTTATTGATAAATCCCATTTAAAAGTGTTTTAACCTAATAATAAGTCCACCAAGAAAAATTATAACTTAGTCAATCCTATGTATTTATACTTTTATTCTATGAGATCCTTTTTTTCTTGATTTATATTATTTGTTGGACTATTATACCCTTATGCCTATTGTTGATACGTATTACATAGAAAAATGATATACACATTTTGTTTTTGTTACTACCTCTATTTTGATAATTACCATTATTTACGTTTTTCTTTTTTATTAGTTTCATTCACATTTGTGGTATTGTTTCATTGTATTAGGGTTTCGAAACTCTATTTGGTAGAGTTTAGAATCTCTAGTTTACACATGGTGGTGAAATAATATTATATTCCTCCGTTGTTACGATAAAGTTTTGTGTTCTTCCATTGTCGCTTTGTATTCGAAATTCTATATTCGTCCATTGTTGCTCTGTGTTTGAAACTTTATGTTTCTCCATTGTTGTATGTCGAAACTCTATTATGTCCACTTAATTTTGTTACAAACATATTCTTCAAAGATGAATTTGGTTTGATTTAGATTGCTGGAATGGTGAAATTGCATAGATTGTTAATGATAGTGATAATGATAAAGATGATGATGAAGATGAGGATGTGAGTGATATATATATATATATATATATTAGAGTGGTTGGGTTTTTTTTTGGATTTCTAATTCCATTACTGTCATTGTTTCTATTTTTTTGTCAATCAGTCTGAATGTTCACATTTCACATTGTTTGAAAGTCTGAGAAATAAGTGTTGAAATATAGATATAAACATAATTATATTTTGTAAGATGCGAATGTTCACATATCATTGGTTATTTGTTATTGTACTTGTTGTTTGAACAATTTTTTTTTTTTTTTGGCTATCAATAAACAATTGAAATAGCCATTTTTTTCCTTTCAATTTTATTTCATGTTGCAGTGTGAATGTTCGCATTGATATGAATCTAGTTTTTCTAAGGTTAGTTATATATTAATTGTAAATTGTGAACATTCACATTGTATTTTATTTTATGTTTTTACATTGCAGTGTAAATGTTTACATTGGTATGCGTTATTTTTTTTAAGGCTAGTTGTATGTTAATTATAAATTGTGAACATTCACATTCACATTGTATGGTTTAAATTTTATTTTTTCGAAGGTTAGTTGTATATTTGTTGGTTATTGTGAATATTCACATTGTACTTTAGTATGTGCTTTGTTTTTTTTCAAAAGTTAGTTGTATGTTTATTATTTACTGTGACCTTTCACATTGTTTTTTGATTTTCATTTAGATTTTTTGTTACATTATTTTTATATTTTTCAAATTATTGAAAATTTCAAAATTCAAAATTTGAGATTTTCTCTATAAAATGCGAAATAGATTTTCTTCATAGAATAAGGGAGAAATTTTCTTTATAAAATAAGGGAAAGTTCACTTTAAAATGAGGGAGAAATTTTCTTCATAAAATGATGAATTATTGTTATCTATTAGCTTTAAAATAGAAATATGCGTAAAAAAATTAAAAAAAATTAAAAAAGATAATTTAATTATATTAATTAAATGAAATAAAACATATCAAAAAATGACCCAAACAAAATTATGGTTGTCTCACAATTGCATTGTCCTTTACAACTCTTGCAAAGGCACGACAAGGATCATTTCTTTGTAAGTGTAAATGTGTTAAAAAGGTTACCTTTATGTATATGACGTGAAACATGTTTGCTCGGAGGAAAATGCTTTGAGACCTTATTTTTTAATTATTTTGGGTTATTTTGGGAAGTTAGTTTTTAGTCATTTTTTTTGGTTTGTAGCAAAAGTTAAAAGTTAATTTTTTTGTTTTTTTTTTTTCATTTGGGAAGTTGGTTTTTAACCAACGGTGAAATTACAATTTTACCCTCATGGGTCAAAATGTGTTACATAAGTGAAGTTGTAAATATTTTAAATAAATGGGGGTAGTTTGGTCATTTTATTATGATTTGACATCATAAACAAACATTAATCAAAAAAGTCAAAAGTCACTTTTTACCAACTTCCCAAATCATTTGTGTAAAAAAGCCAAAAGCTTGGTTAAAAGTCAAAAAGTCACTTTTTACCATCTTCCCAAAACAATCCTTTATTTTTTTTTCTCACAAAAGTCAAAAGACTTATTACAAATGAGACTTTTTAGCCCCAGGTTAAAATAATAAAAAATCTAAAAAGTCAACTCACATCCCAAACGAAAGCACAACATGCTTATAATATAACACAATTTTTTCTTTTATAAAGCATACATCCACTTTTTATGAAGCAAACACATCTTTTGTAAAGATTTTTCTCATTCTTTTATAAAGTATACATATATTATTGGCTCAGGTGTATGGCAATATAATATTTGTTTTACTTATATAGTTATAATTTGATTGGCAGCAGTAGTACTAGCTGGTGTGCATTTTTATTTTTTATTTTTTTAAATTGCAGAGCATTGGCTGATGCGCATTGTTTGGCATTTAATTTTTTATATATATATATATTTGATTTGTTTGGAATTATAGAGTACATGTTGGTGTACATTGTTTGATATTTAATTTTCAATTTAATTTGTTGAGATTGCAGAGCATTTGCTGGTGTGCTTTATGTGGTGTTTAGTAATTTTTTTCTTTTTACTATAGAATGTTAACGAGTATACAATAGCTTTGATTTTTGTATTTTGTTTAGTGTTTATAATTTTTTTTTTTTTACTTGCTCATATTTTGATTTGCAATATTGGTAAACTTTATAAAACTTAAGTTTTTTTGAACGCTACAAAACTTATATGTTTGTTTCTTAATTTGCATTAAAGTTAGGGAGTGTTGTTATTTTATTTGAGTTCTATACAACATGTGGTACAAGCAAAATTGTTACAAGTTTTTAAGAAGAATAATATTTCTTTATTTTTTTTAGTATCTTATCAAAAAAAGACCGTGCCTTTATTATAACTAGATTTTAATTCTAACATTATTTATACCGTGTCTTTAGGTACGGACATACATTAGTGCTTATAATATAACACAATTTTTTTATTATAACCTTGTTAGGATTGATACTATTATTAGTATAGATTAGGTCATTCTTAAAATAATTGACACGTTTAATTAAATAGTTTAGATTAAGATTATACAAATAAGTGAAAAGTTATACTCTTTTTATCTCAAAATATTAGTCTTATATTCTATTTTTTATTGTCTTAAAATATTAGTCACTTTTCAAAAATTAAGAACTAAAACAATATGAATTTTCTATTTTGCACTTCTTTTAAATTCATTAACAATACAAAAAGTACAATTATGACAATTGATATTTTTCTAAATAATACTATTAAATGGTAATTTTGAAAAATTAATATTTTTTAAATGTAATAATTGTACTATAAAAAAAATTAAATTCTTTAAAAAAAATTATTATTTAGTGACTGAGGAAATAATTTTTTTTAGTCATGTGTTTTCTGCACTAATAAAACTTTCGAACTTGAAGTGAAAGGACAGCTCATATGAGAGAATTTTTTTTTGTAAAGTTAGTCAATTATTCAAATAAAATAAGAACTAAAGCAACATCCAAACCTTACCTAATTCTCTATTTGATAGATTGATAAGATTAAGGTTAAGTTTGGAAAGATTAAGGCTCTGTTTGTTTGTATTCCCAAATCAATTTTCTACGTGTGTTTTGGAGCATCATGTTTGGTTACGTTTTCAAATCAATTTTCTACACTCTCTGCAGAGAACTCTGCGCACACAGGCGTGTTTTCTGTCCACCGGATGACCACCCGGTAGACCACCCGGTAGACCACCCGGATGTCCGGCTGATTTCCACATTTTTTTTTTTGCAATTGATTTACATAATCGGGACAAATATTTTCTGAAAATTTTTAAATTTTTTATGTGCTTTAAAATAATTTTGAATTGTATATTTAGTTATGAGTTGTAAATTTTTGTATCACATATCAAATGTCACATCAATAATTCCCCACTCAAATCAAACCTCTTTTCCAAAACTATTTTCAAAACTCTTTACCAAACAAATTTTCTACACTCAAATCATAATTTCACAACACACAAACTCAAAATATAA